GCGTGGTTTAAAATCAGGAAAGGTGTGAGTCAGGGTTGTATCCTTTCACGATACTTGTTCAATCTATATGCTGGGCAAAGAATCCGAAAACTAGACTGTATGAAGAATTCAGCATCAGGATTGGAGGAAGACTCATTAACAACCTGCAATATGCAGATGACACAACCTTGCTTGCTGAGAGCAAAGAGGACTGAAGCACTTACTGATGAAGATCAAAGACTACAACCTTCAGTATGATTACACTTCAACATAAAGAAAACAAAAATCCTCACAACTGGACCGTTAAGCAACATTATGATAAACGGACAAAATATTCAAGTTGTCAAGGATTTCATTTTACTCAGATCTACATTCAGCCTCCATGGAAGCAGCAGTCAGTAAATCAAACGATGTATTACATTGGGCAGATTTGCTGCAAAAGACTTCTTTAAAGTGTTGAAAAGCAAAGATGTCACGTTGAGAACTAAGGTGCGCCTGACTTAAGCCATAGTATTTTCTGTTGCCTCGTATGCATGCAAAAACTGGACAACAAATAAGGAAAAACCAAAGAAGAATTGATGCCTTTGAATTATGATGTTGGCGAAGAATGTTGAATATACCATGGACTACCAGAAGAGCGAACAAATTTTTTTTGGAAGAAGTTAGCAGAATGCCCCTTAGAAGCTAGGATAGCAAGACTTCATCTCACATACTTTGAACATGTTATCAGGAGGGACCAGACCCTGGGGAAGGACATCATGCTTGGTAAAGTAGTTGTTGTTAGGTGCCATCGAGTCGGTTCCAACTTGTAGTGACCCCATGTACAACCGAATGAAACACTGCCTGGTCCTGTTCCATCCTCACAATCATTTTTATTCTTGAGTCCATTGCTGTAGCCATTGTGTCAGTCCATCTCCTTGAGGGTCTTCCTGTTTTTCGCTGACCCTCTACTTTACCAGGTATGATGTTCTTCTCCAGGGATTTATCCCTCCTCATAACATGTCCAAATTATGTGAGACGTAGTCTCGCCATCCTTGCTTCCAAGAGGCATTCTGGCTGTACTTCTTCCAAGACACATTTGTTCGTTCTTTTGGCAGTCCATGGTATATTCAGTATTCTTCGCCAACACTGTAATTCGAAGGCATTAATTTTTATTTAGTCTTCCTTATTCATTGTCCAGCTTCCACATGCATATGAGGCGATTGAAAACACCATGGCTTGGGTCAGGCGCACATTAGTCTTCAAGGTGACATCTTTGCTTTTTAACACTTCTGCAATGCAGTAGGTCATTTGATTTCTTGATTGCTGCTTCCATGGGTGTTAATTGTGGATCCAAGTAAAATGAAATCCTTGATAAATTCAATCTTTTCTCTGTTTATCATGATGTTTGCTTACTGGTCCAGTTGTGAGGATTTTTGTTTTCTTTAGAAGTGTAATCCATACCGAAGGTTGTAGTCTTTGATCTTCATCACTCAGTGCTTCAAGTCCTCTTCACTTGCAGCAAGCACGGTTGTGTCATTGCATAACCCGTGTTGTCAGTGAATCTTCCTTCAATCCTGACACTCTGTTCTTCTTTGTATAGTCTACCTTCTGGGATTATTTGCTTAGCATAGAGATTGAACAGATATGGTGTAAGGATACAACCTTGACACACACCTTTCTTGACTTTAAACCACGTAGTATCCCCTTGTTCTGTTCAAACAACTGCCTTTTGATCTATGTACAGGTTCCTCATGAGCAGAATTAAATGTTCTGGAACTCCCATTCTTTGCCATGTTATCCATAATTTGTTTTGATGTCCACCGTCAAAATCTTTGCATAGTCAATAAAACACAGGTAAACATCTTTCTGGTATTCTCTGCTTCCAGCCAGGATCCATCTGACATCAGTAATGATATCCCTGGTTCCATGTCCTCTTCTGAATTGGGCCTGAATTTCTGGCAGTTCCCTGTAAATGTACTGCTGCAACCATTTTTGAATGATCTTCAGCAAAATTTTACTTGTGTGTGATATTAATGAAATTGTTTGATGATTTCTACATTCTGTTGGACCACCTTTCTTTGGAATAGACTATTTGCAATGAAGTAGTCATTGGTCATGCTAAATCCTATCATGCCATCTCAGGCATCTTTTTCTATCACCAAGGCCATATTTTTCAACTATCAGTCCATCTTTATTTGCAATTTTTGCTTTCCAGTCACCAGTAATTATCAATGCAGTGCATCCTGATTGCATAATCAATAAATTTCAGACTGCAGAAGTCGGTAAAAATCTTCAATTTCTTCATCTTTGACCTTATGGTTGGTGCGTAAATTTGAATAATAATTGTGTTAACTGGTCTTCCTTGTAGGTGTATGGATATTATCCTATCACTGACAGTGTTGTACTTCAGTATGTATCTTGAAATGTTCTTTTTGACGATGAATGCAACACCATTCCTCTTCCAGATGTCATTCCCGGCATAGTAGACCATATGATTGTCCGATTCAAAATGACCAATACCGGTCCATTTCAGCTCACGAATGCTTCAGACATCAATGTTTATGCATTCTATTTCTTTTTGACCATTTCCAATTTTCCTAGATTCATACTTCATAATTCCACATTCTGATTATTAATGGATGTTTGCAGCTGTTTCTTCTCATTTTGAGTTGTGCCACATTAGCAAATGAAGGTCCCGAAAGCTTGACTCCATCGACATCATTAAGATTGACTCTACTTTGATGAGGCAGCTCTTCTCCAGTTGTCTTTTGAATGCCTTCCAACCTGAAGGGGCTCATCTTCCAGCACTATATCAGATAGTATTCCACTGCTATTCATAAGATTTTCACTGGCTAATTCTTTTCAGAAGTAGACTTCTAGGTCCTTCTTCCTAGTCTATCTTAGTCTGGCAGCTCATCTGAAACCTGTCCACCATGGGAGACCCTGCTGGTATTTGAATACCAGTGGCATAGCTTCCAGCATCACAGAAAGACGCAAGCCCCCATAGTATGACAAACTGACAGACACCTGGGGGTGGTAAAGTAGAGGGTCATTGAAGAAGAGGAAGACCCTCAAAAAGATGGATTGATACAGTGGCTCCAACAGTGGGCTCAAACTCAGCAACAATTGTACAGATGGCACAGGACAGTGCAGTGTTTTGTTCTGTTGTACATTGAATCACTATGGGTCGGTACCAACTCAATGGCACCTAACAACAACAACGTGTTAAATAAAGATTAATATTTCTAGTATTTTTTTGTACATTTGCTATGTTAGTATTATATTAAATTAACACCCATGTTAGTATTATATTAAATATATGCTAGGTTGTATCCACGTGTATGTCAAACATATTTTAAAGTTAAAGTTATAAATATTATTGTTTACAAAACTTAGGATGTAACTCTGCATGTAAATGCTAAGCAAGTAAAAAGCCACTTGATTGAATTCATTGCAGTAGTCATCGTATTCGAGTTCCCTTGCTTTTGCATATCGTCTGGGACTGCCATTTGTTGTTTACCAGGACGTGCGGACGTGCACAAGAGCATACCCTTGTGTTTGTATCATGGCAAAGAGCATTTCTGGCCCTCCTAACTGGAGCTGATAGATTAGCAGATGTGGATGTACAAGATGGTTCCCTCAAAATGGATCAGAGACCTGTTTATTGATATAATCTGTCCTTGCTCAGTAGCCACTCATGTTGGATCCAGTTTCATATTAGGTGAATGTAGCAAGAGTTAGACTCGACAGCCCACCCTTACCTCTTGTTTATTAGAAAGAAATAGTATAATCTCAAGAGACCTGCTGAGATAAGAAGTTTCAGTTTCATGGGAGGGGACCATAGGAGACGTGTCAATGAAGGTGTTGAAGTGGTAGGGGCCTCATAAGTTAAACATCCCTGCACATGAGTGCCCTAGTGACTCTGTGTGTATACTATTTCCAGCCATCACATTCTCACGCACTGGAGCTGTATCAATTTCATTTAGTGTTCTGCCAGTTCCCTTCCACTGTGGCAGTCTCTTTTCCTTGCGTCCTGTCTGCTTGGCGTCTGTGGGTCTTTGCTTTGGACATCTGGTGCCCCCATTTTGTTGATGCCCTAGACAGGTGCTTCCCTTGCTTATTGATAAATCCATCCTAGGGTACAGGTCATGTACTCAATCTAGGTGTCTGTCCTCCAAGGCTTCCTGCTGAGGAAATGAACTGTGGTCATGCCCTCAACTTCTTTTGTATGAGAGCTGGTATCCCAGATTGTTAACTACTGCTGTAGATTCCAGTTCGTGAGAGATTTTTGGCTGAAGATGATTAGTGCCTAGAAGTGATTTAGATCAAAGTTCTGGCCACCTCTAAGGTGCTGGATTCTTTCTGCCTTGTGGTAAGAAGTGTTCTTTCCTGAAGATGCTCCTCAGTCAGAGCCTCCAGATGAAAATCCCCTTTGTCAAGCTTTCCTGCCAGAAGACATCATAGCACATTGGTCCTTCACTACTCTCCTCTCTGTTGTTTTGCACACTTTGTATTAGAGGAAATTTCATGAAAATTTTTTTTGCCAGCACCGCTGAGTAGAGCTAGCAACTATATCTAGGAGATGCATTACTACTGTCAAGCATGCTACATTTAAGCATACTGTCTCTCTGTTCCTGAAAATTGCAAACCTCAGTTCAAGGGATATGACCAGCTTCTTTGTTTCATAATTCTCTTTCCTTGAGTCAGCAATATTGATCTCTGCCAGAGCAAATGGCAAAATCAGGTTAGATTAGCATGCTTGCAAAAGATATAGGTAAGAGGCCTTATACAAATATCTAAATTATTGTGGCTCAGGACTCAAAGATTTCTAAAAAGTACTTTCACACAATTCATTATTGTTAGTATTCGTGACTGCTTGAGAAGCTCCATAACCTTTTTCTGCCATAGGAAATAAATCATTCGTAATAGCAAAAGTTTTTTTCTTCTCTTTTCTTTTTAAAACTTGAGATTTTCCTTGAAACAGCCACATGTCATCACCATTCCTTTCTCTGTTCAACATTGTTTTTCTTCTGCCTTAGGATGGTCGTCTGCGAGTGAATGACCAGCTGATTGCAGTTAACGGGGAAGCTCTTTTGGGAAAGTCCAACCACGAAGCTATGGAAACACTTAGGCGATCGATGTCCATGGAAGGAAACATACGAGGGATGATCCAGTTGGTGATTTTGAGGAGGCCAGAGAGACCAATAGAGGTGATGTAAATCTTATTTCCCTTGGCAAAATGTCCAGATGGGCACAGAACATGCAAGCCTCCGTCACTAGGATTGGAGCTAGACTCATATTGACTCAGCAAGTGGGAAAATATGCTCCAAGAGGGATCTGATGGATTTATGTGGGGAACAGGTGGTTGTATATTTTAGATATATATGGAAAGTATAAAAATGTGCATATAAAGTAAGTAATTTATCAAATATAACAGGCCCATTTCTTCTGGTTTTTAATTTTCCCACAGAAATTCCTAGAGAGCTGGACTTATTTATAAACATCTTTGTATGTCTCTTGGTTGATGTGTTAACAGTGTTCATACCTTAGAAAATTTAATCGAATGTGTACAATGTTTAATGTGTAGATCATTATAATGTAGTCGGCTCTCTAGATTCTCCCCCATAATCTGCAGATGGATAATATAGATCTGACAGTTAATTCATTTAAAATTTGAGCCAATAAGCAAGCTACTTGCTTCATGTTATTAAATAAATGAGAGTCTTATTTTTGAAGTCTTCTATCATGGTTTACTTATGGATATTTTTAGTGTTAGGAATATTTCACTTACACATGAAGAATAAGTATAAAATATCTCTAAATCTTAATATCCTTAAACATCTCACTTATATACAAATAATAAGTATAAAATTTCCTAAAATATTTTCTCTTATCTATGAAGGATAATTATAAAATACTTATAAAAATCATTTTAGGAGACAGTCAGAAGAACAAATTGATGGTAGTAAGAGTTAAGAAAAAATTCAGCAAATCAGATCATATCAGGAGAGCCTCACAGGACAAATGATATTTGCATAATGCAACATTATGTAAAGTTCAAATACAGTGCTATGAAAAGCACAGTAATATAAAATATTAGCTTTAATAATAAATTCAACTTAAAAATTTTTAAATGATGTAAGAGTACAAGTGGTTAAAAACTTTGGTTCTAGAGTTTTGGATTAACCAGTTAGAGTAGAGTCACTTCTGACTCATAGTGACCCTATGTGTGTCAGAGTAGACCTGTGTCAGAAATAGATCACCAGGCCTTTCTCCCAAAGTACCTCTGGGTGGACTCAGCCCCCCAGTCTTTTGATTAACAGTCAAGCATGTTAACATTTGCACCACCCAGGGACTTAGGAGTTTCAGACTGGTTGGGTTAAAATTACAGGTTACCATTTTCTAGTAGCGTAACCACATGCATAGTTGAGTGTTTAGTACTTAATAGATGACAGGGATTATTATCTGTTTTATTCCTTAATGTATCCTCATTGTACAACATATAGTAGACACTTAATAAATAATCTGTTGAATGAATTATTAAAAGTTTCATCTGAGACCTACTTCACCTCAGATGGTAAGCTTAAGTAGAGGAGTTATAAACCATAGCTCACTTTGTTATATTAGCAGCTATTGGAAGGGAGTAACTGTACCTTTATAGTCTTCTGTACATAACCTTGTGGATGTTAAATAAATGTAAATTGGCCAATTACTGGAGACTATAGATAATGAACCAACATAGTTTTCAACATTTGCTTCTGCTTAAGTGACAGAGAGTCTTTCATGAGTATTTAATGGGCTTTACTTATACATATAGCTACAAAGCCCTTATCTATTGCTCCTTACCATGAGAGAATTGGTTCTAGTCTAGTTTAATTCAGTTCTTACTCTAGAGCCCAAGGATTCCATGGAATCCATTCTGGGGATAGGGATTGAAGGATAGCCCATGAATCCCTGAGGCATCCCTTCTGTGTATCTGCATATTGGATCTCCCTTAAGATTTTTTTGAAGAGTGATATCTTAGCTAATAGAAAAGTCTACAACTAATAGAAGTCACTGCTCTAGAGTACAATACCCACCCATGCAGATAGCAAAAGGAAAAATGTATATATATGTATATATATATATATATATATATATATTTGTATGTATGATTCTTAAAAGAGTAAGATATTCCCTACTCTCATCCTCCCTAATTTCATTTCTTTCTTTAACTATGTGTGACTGCCTAGTGGATAGATGCTATGTATTTTGGCTCATCCCTTGGAACCTTTTATCATTTTCATTCTCCTTTACTGTAGGTATTTTTATTTTAATTCTCTTATCCTGGGATAGATTGACAATTGTCTCATCAGAAGAAAGTACTAAACTTTCAGTTCTTTGCCTGTCCTCAAAAGTGTCTTGTTAGTATAGTTCACTAGAGGATCAATCAGGAATACGAAATGGGTCATAAGGAAATTTTTATGAGGACATTTAAACAAGATCTGTTTTCAGTTTCCCTAGTATTTACAGATTTAATGTTTACAGGGAGTCTTGGTGGTTCAGTGGTTAAGCGATTGGCTGCTAACCAAAAGTTCAGTGGGTTGAACCCAGCAGCCCCTCCTCAGGAGAAAGATGTGGCAGTCTGCTTCCATAAAGATTACAATTTCGGAAACCCTATGGGGCAGTTCTGCTCTGTCCTACAGGGTTGCTGTGAGTCAGAATTGACTGGATGGCAGTGGGTTTGGTTTGGAATATTTACAAGCTTTCCGTGGAGGATGAGCGGGTATGACTCTCAGCTATTGAGAGTCTCTGTGGTACCATGAAGATTAAAAAGCATTTTTTTCTTACAAAGACAGAAGCTTAATATACAACTTATCTTTATTAAATTAGGGGAAAAATCTGTAGCTATTTAATCTCCCGAATCTGTGTTTTGGTGTGTCAGAGCATATGTTGTGTGCTTCTGTTTTTGGTGTATTCTCCTGTGAAACAGCAGTCAGCCTCAGGTATGATAAAAAGCACTCATAACCTAGAAAACAGTCTCAGAGGTGCTCATACATTCAGGCAAATCAATTAGTTCAGTTTGGCAAGAATACCAAAATTGTTACTTGAACATTATATTGATATGAAAAATTGAAGAAGCTACTTAAGAAAAGTCAAAATATATAGTTGTTGGGGTTTTTTTCCACATTACCCAGATGTACAAGATACGTAAACAGTTTTGATGAGGACCTCGTGAAGAATACATAATGAGCCCTTGATTGAATCAGAATCATTTTAAACAGAAACATTTTTTCTTAAAGGATGAGCTTGAGGTTCGATTGTAATTCCATTTGAGCCTAGAGACTTGGTATTAAAAAAATGGGTTATGACCTGTTTTTTTTTTTTTTGTTTGTTTCCCTCCCTGCTGCAGCTCATATAGAAGGAGAATATGTTTAAAAATCCATTATATTTTTTATTGGCTGGGACACTAATGGAGGGCTCCCCGACAGCTCTATTTTACAGACTGAATACTTTAATTAGGCTGGTTACTGATCAGTTGTTGGGATATTGATTGTGTCATTTATCAAAGAGCTGGGAAAGCAGAATTTTTTGTTGTTGTTCTTGTTGTTGGTCATTCGGAGCACATGACTGTGCAAAGCAAGTCCTAAGACCTACCTACTTCTCTTCCTGCCGGGGCTCCGGCTTTGATTTAGGAGTAGACTGCCTTGGTACCGGACTTGATTTGGCTAACAGTACTGAGGCAATGGATGTGGAGAGAGTATTCTAAGCCTTAACACAAAGCCAAAAGGACCCCCAGCCACTGAAAATGTTTTAATTATTAAGAATGCATAAATTGAATGTTTTAAACACTTTGTTTAACTAGCATTGAGCTTTTGTAACTAAAGGGGAGAGGCAAGAATAAATCCAATGCGTTGATTGAGCCAAATGCTTTTCTCAAAAGAAAAGTGCTTTGGGGATCACACCGGTGTTTCTGTCTGGGGCATCTTCCTTTCATAAGCGGGTCAAGGGAGCAACCATGAGATGACTTCCTGTGGTATAATGGTTAAAGAGCTTGGCTGCTAACCAAAAGGTCAGCAGTTCAAATCTACCAGCTGCTCCTTGGAAACCCTCTGGGGCAGTTCTGCTCTGTCCTATAGAGTTGCTATGAGTCAGAATCAACTCAATGACAATGGGCAAGGGGTTTTGAAATCTTTTAGGGAAACAGATAATACTAGCAAGAACAAAACCCAGTTCTCTGTGCCTCCATCCTCTTAAAAAAAATAGCTAGATATAATCCAGCTTGTTCCTATTACCTTTTCAGCACCTGTGGAACATGGCTTTTGAGGGTGTTATTCTAGATACAGCAGTTTTAAGTAAACTGTGACTTTGTTTGCAGACTGTCAAAATCAAAATAGGAGGGGGAAATATAGAAAGAAAGAAAAGATCTCAGGAGAACAACTGTCTGGCGATGTCACACTAGTTTGCTTTAGCTCCTGGCCAGAAGACCCAGTGTCTGTGGGGAACATCCTCGTGGCACTTCATGGCTAACTTGCTTGGGCTCTGACTTGTCTTAGACCACAGGCACTCAGTTGACAAGAGAGAAAGAAAGAGAGAGGAACCAGCTGGTTGGCAGAGAAACCCCTTGACATTAACTGTATTCTTGAGTTGACACTAACACAAGCTGCACTCCCAGATGGAAGAAAATGTGAAAGATGCCAGTTGTAAGTGGGGAAAGAATAATAAAGTTAATAATCCCTTTTTGTGTTGGCTATCAGCACTCTGAATCCCTAGCACCACATTGTCAGTATTTTTAATTTTGTATTCAGATATTTTAACCAATAGGGCCTTTTTTATTTTCCATAGATGAGGAGTTATATGCAATAGACTCTTGAATAAATGCATCATACTTTAGCTTTGCTTCAGTTGACCAAGTGGGAACATATCTTAAAAAGAAAACATAATTTTTATTTTTATCCCGTAGGAGCCTACAGAGTGTGGGGCTTTTTCCAAGCCAGGCTTTGAGAACTGTCAAAACACTGTAACCACCTCCAGGAGAAATGATAATAGCACACTGCATCCATTTGGCACTTATAGCCCACACAACAAATGGAAAGGTAAGAGTCTGTCCATCTCTTCCACTGCAAATGGAGTGAGAAAACACAAAAGCATCTTTTTATTAAAAAAAAAAAAAAAGAATAAAAAGGAGTTAATTAGACTAAGTACAGACTTTGTTACTCTGAGTCATGAACATTGAGAGAGAGGTGGGAGAGCTGACTCAGAAGTTGTGAATCAGATTCCTGCAATGCCCCCAGCTTAAGTGACAGTTTCTATGCTTGCTGCCCCCAACACAGAGGGCTATGTAGAAAACAAATCTTGACTGGAGAAGCAAAGATGGCAAACCACTATTTTTTTTTGAAGCTTTTTTAATATTGGAAGTTACCAAATATAAATACCTATTAAACTTAAAAACTGTATCCACTAAATCATAAAATAGTCATCACATGATTCAGAGATTTATACTTGACTCTAATATGAGCGTGGCAAACACCATGAACTGAGACCATTACATGAAGGTTGGAATGTTCTTGTTATTGACTTGCTACACTGACTTTCCCCTATTTTCTGGTATGGATTACATTTCTAGTAGAGCTCTAGATGTATAAAACTTGGGTGTTTTTTCCTGGTTTTTCAGAAATTTTACTTCACATCACCAAGAAAATGTTTTCATCTCCCTTTATCTTTTTTTTAAATAACTTTCATTTTTTTATATTGGAAAAGTAATACATATTCATTGTAGAAAATTTAAAGAAAGGCAATAAAAAGAAAATTTAATATTACCCTTACTTCTACCTATCAAAGATACTAATGAATAACATTTTTATGTGTATTTTTCAAGTCTTTTCTTTATTAAAATGTGTGTGTTTTGTAGGAATGGAAGTTTATAGTATATATTGCTTAGGAAGCTGCTTTTTTAAACTGATAGCACATTAAGAGCATCCTAGTATGTCATTGAATATTCATCTACAGCATTACTTTCAGTGGATACACAATTTTCTATTGAATATACTATATATTATGTGGTAAATTTCTTGCTTTTGGACATTTAAGATGTTGCCAGAAGTTTACTACCTCTGAGCAGTTTCTGAGATAACTCTGTCACAACGGGCTTGTGAATCTGAGGTTACTCTAGAACTAAATTGGTTCATCAGAACAGGGTGTTGTTTTTTCTCTGAATCCCTCCATTTTAGTGAGAGTTGTAGCAACAGCTGTTAACATTTATTAAAAGCATACTTTCTGTTAGATATTTTGCTAAACAATTTGCATGCATACTAAAAGTGGTAATATTACTATCCTCATTTCACAGATGAAGAAATAGAAGTTCAGAGAGAAAAAATAATTTACTCAAGGTCGTGTACTTGATATATACAGAACCTGGATTCATTCATGTCTTTCTGACTAGAGTCCACCCACTAAACCACATCCTGGGCATTGTCCTGCACTGAACCCTCAGAACTAATGAAGTCCTTTCATCGTATACTGAGAATGTTCATTATTAGAAGCTGACTTAATATGTACATAAAGAAATATTCAGTATAATTTCCTCGTGTTCCTAATGAAATTAAAAGTTCTTGTGACAGAACAAAATCTTCTTCTGAGACCTTAAATCACAATAGCAAGAGAGTCTGGGGAAGGAACATCAAGTTTTCTAAAGAATAGAACAGCTTCTTTCCACCATGTCTATATTACATGATCAAAAGCATTGGCATCTGTATTAAAATATCAAGGCTTTATGTAATTTGATTGGCATTTAATTCTCAAGCAGCATGTGGTCCAGTGACAATCCAAGTTCAGAGTTTTATTCCTAATTACACCCGTGACTTCCATGGGAACATTGGGCTAGTTACTGCCTATCTTGCTACATTTTTTAATACCTATAAAATATTGATGCTGTGATGATACTTATGCTACTTAATTTTTAGAGGGCATTGAAATACTCAAGGAAATGAGATACTATCTCTAGAAAGGATAGCAAAGGCTAAAACAATATATCTATACAACTAGTTCAAGATAAGGTGTAAGGATACATCCAGAATTCTATTTTTACACAAATTTTATTTTTAAACAACAAATCCACTAAAAACACATGCTTAAAACAAAATGCAATAATAGTTGGGAACTTCACTGAACTATTCGGGAGTTTGTATCTCTCCGATACCTTTGGTCACAAGTGGCCACAGAACACCAGTGGGACATTTTGTCTGTTCTGTTCCTCCTGAGACATAGATCCAGGTAGAACAACATTTATAACAATGGAAAAACAAACAAAAAGCATGTAGATCCACTACCAACGAGGTTTCTTCATCATTTCCTTGCCCTACCTCAATTTTCCAGATTAACATTAAAAATATAATTCTTTTAAGAACTGACTCTACTAAGCATTGTTTTTTTTAAGAAGCAAAGAAAATCTATTGTTATTATTTCTTTGTGGATCTGTGATACAATATCAAGTTGTAAGAATTAGGACTATCACAGCAAAGACCTGTTAAATTTTGATTGTTAGAGGCCAGTAGATGAAATTCTCTTTTCTAAATAAGCCTATTGGCTTAGACACAAATAAATTATCTCAAAATTTATAAACATGGTGCTATAGAAGAATATCATGATCATCACCTTTTTTGTAATGTTAATAACATTTTAATTTTGGGAACCATTGTGAGTTCTTGAGTTTCAGATCCAGGTACAGTGTTAATGCACCACTAAGATTTGGCCAGGTGAAACCTGAGTGAATTTTTGACTCGCCAATTTTTTAAGGACCTCCTTTATAAAACAGAATCAACTTGACAAAATGTAATGTCTAGTAAGGAGAGGAACTGTTACAGCCAAACAAAACATTGACTTTTTTCCCTTCTCCTTTTTCTTTCTTTTGTATATTTAAACATCCAATGTTGATATGCTGTGTTCCATCTATTTTTGTAATAATAGTACATACCACCCACAGTTCCTGAGTTACACGTTTTTTTATTCCTGTCAAGCTGTTACACAGAAAAGACATTTTTAGAACTAACGTTTATAGAAATTGTTAACACCAGAAAGTTTACATTCGTGTTAGAGAATTGCTCGCAGTGCCCACAATGGAGTAAGTTTGATGCCCCAAGATGGTAATAAGGATAGAGGTTGTGTCTCAGGTGGTTACTTTATAAAATCCTATTAAGCTTCTGAGTGGTAATGAAGAATCTCACTGGCAGATCTCACCTAGGTAGAGTAATAGCCTCAGCATAGTTTGCTGCTGGCTTGTTATTACTTCTTTTATGGCTCTCATCTCCCCTTTTGTGCTTCTCCTACTTCCCCTTCCCTTTCTGCTCAAGTCCATCTCAGCCCCTGCCCAAGCACCCACTGTTCACATGTATGCCCAGGATTACCCACCAAGGCCTTCATACCCACCCCAAATCAAACATTTTGGTTTTGCGTCTAGTCCCATTACATCCATGTTCTCTGGGGTCCTTTGAAGAGGCATATATTAGTATAGTTGTTCCTAATGCATATCCTCCTGGGAATCAGCATATACCTACTCATCTATTGCATATAAGGCAGTACCTGTGGAGCAGCATCAGTGATGGGGTTTATACTTTCTAATTTGACTAATGCTTATGACACCCCCATTGGGCAGGATACGCTCTGAGGGATGCAGAGATGAATGCAATGCCATTACTGTCCTCAAGAATAGTCTAAAGCAGAGGTCGGCAAACTTTTTCTGTAAAGGGCTAGATAATAAATATTTTAAGTTCTTCAAGCCATGGGGTCTCTGTCACAGCTGTTCAACTCTGTGTCTTTATACTACAAAAGCAACCAGAGCAACATGTGAACGAATGGGCATGGCTGTGTTCCAACAAAACTTTATTTACAAAATAGATGGCAGACTGGTTTTAGCCCAGGGGCTGTAGTTTTCTGACCTTTTTTTCCCTCAGTATTCTTACCCTTCTTTTCTGATCTGACCCTGAAAAACAAACAGCAACAATAGTAAATGGTGGTGATTAAAAGAAGGACCATTTGCCATCAATGAAATAGTGACTAGAGGGTAAAGTGTCAACATTCACAGGCATATGTTTTGAATGGCCATCAAGAAGACTGTAAGACTGTGTCCTGTACACCCAATGAAATCCAGAAATCTTCTTTTTAGGACATAAGAATTCTAGATTTTTACACTGATACAGGGCTTAACAAAACTGTTTAGGTTAAAAGGGGAAAACAAATGCCCTTAACAGCATCTGAATATGTTGTTTAAAAATGTATCAATAATAAAGAGTCAACAAACAAACTATCTTGTCATCTGTGCCCAACACCACTTTAAAAAAACACGTAGATTGATTATGTGAATGCAATTAAAATTGAAGTTAATGATTATATAAATCTTGCATAGCCAGAGAAGAAGCTGTGGAAGAGGAGCGAGAGGAGAAAGAGGAAGTTATCTACAGTCTAAAACCAGTTGCCGTCTAGTCAATTCTGACTCATGGTGACCCTGTGTGTCAAGAGTAGAACTGTGCTCCACTGAGTTTTTCAATGACTGATTATTCATAAGTAGGTCTCCAAGCTTTTCTTCAAAGCACCTCTAGGTGGATTTGAACTGTCAACTTTTTGTTTAGCAGTCAAGCTTGTTAACCATTTGCACCACTCAGGGACTCCTATTCTGTAGACAGTGGGATGACAATGAAGTGGTTTTGGGCAAGCAAGTTACATGATCATATCTGTGTTTACCACCAAGATGGAAGATGGAGTGGGAGGTTGATGGTAGAGAAATTAGAGCCAGCAGAAAGGTTGCTGCCCTCATATGTCCCATGTCCCCTAATTATATTTTAATCCTTCTGCTCTGTTCCTCTCAGCAAATCTCTGGCTGCTTGGCTCCTGCCACCAATACCAAACCACTGGGGTGGGGGTGATGCAGGTGGGCAGTGTTGGCTGCCTTTCATGCTTCTATACCCTGGTCACCTACTGTAGCTCATTTCCAGGGACATGTCAGTCAGCACTACTAGAGCTATCTCCATTTCAGACTAATCCATGGAGGAGAGCTTAAAGCAAGTTCTTGTCTGATACGTGGACAAGTCAAAGCAGGTTCTTTTGCCAGCAGAAGTTCTCAGGGATCGAGGACCAAGAGATTTTCTCTTGTTCCAGCAATCAGGGCCAAAGATGCTCCACATTTTACCAAATATCTCACTGTAAGAGGTACACAGTATAGTTTATGATTTATAGAATAATAATCTTTTATATTACTTAGTTAGCACTTTGCATTTATAAGTCACTCCTTGAAAATGCACCAGCTTATTTAAATCTTAGAGTCCTTTAATGAAGGTATTATTATTCTACTTTATAAACAGCTGAGGCTTAGAGAAGTTGTATAAATTACCCAAGGCTACACAACAATAGAACTTCGATTGGAAACTTGGCAATCCTGCTCCAAAAGCCATACTCTTAATCAAAATAATGCTTTTTGTACATCAGTTAAATTACTATTAAATATGAGCATTAAATGACAATGCACATAATTTTTAGCGCAGTACACAATAAGAGCTTAATAAACCTGACTAGTTAGTAGTTTTAGTAAGATTCAGAGTACATGTCTATTTTTTCCAGTAGAGAGTAGGTGGGAAACTAGAATTCAGACCCCAGTCTTTTGCTTGCCTGGCCCCAAACCCAGGTGATTCCATTATGGCACAGTTGCAAAAAAAAGTGTTCCCCCTACTGTGTCTAAAATGTGAGTAGATATACTAAATTTCATGATTTTTTAAAAGTAATTTTGCTACTAAGGCAGATGCTTAAATCACCAGGTAATCCAGAGTATTCATTATAGAGTCTTGTTTACAAAAACGTTAGAACATAAAAGAGGAGGCTTCATTATTCTTCCACAAATCATAGGTAATGAATATGTTTCAGCCCTTCATAGGTGGAAAAGGTAGTTAAGATGTATCAACCTGACCTGCCAGGGGTTACCAGCAGGTCACCGGTATAAAAATATATTAGCAGGCTTAAATTTCCTCATACAGCTGCGTTTGCTTTCATACGGATCCTTCAGTCTCGTTACAGGTCTTATTATTTTGAGGCTAGTTTATGTGCTGGTTAAAATTGTGTCTGTGAGATAGACTGAAACAAAACCAGGAAATGAGCAGTTCTGCCACCAGTTTACTATAGCTTCATTTGTTCTTTGTTTATAGAGCTATTGCTTCCCAGTGATGGATGGACGGAGAATGAAGTACCGCCTTCTCCACCACCACATCCTAGTCTGGAATTGGGCCTTGAAGATTACAGCCACAGGTATCGATAAAATGATATATCGTAAATGTTCCCTGTTATAGTTTTTCAGGGAAAACCCAGCAACCTTATTTTAACTCTTATTTCTTTCCAGAATGGAAATCTCATAGTATCCATAATTCCTTTACAGTGTAGGCTTCTCGTAGCTAATAGTTTAGGTTGTTCATATTTTGTTTCTTGGAATTTGCTAAGATTCATCATATGTTATTAAAATACTTAAGAAAATAGTTGAATTTTCTTTTACAAGTTTAAAAACTAGAGCAGTGGAGCTAAAAGAAAAGTTATATGGGAAGCTATAAACAAAAGTGAGAAAACATAAAGCTTAGGGGTTTTTTTTCCCCCCTTTTGTAATTGGCAAACCCTAAAGCTATTTTAAAAATAGATGTTGTAAGAAAGTTAATGGAATCTAAAAATTCAAGCAACACCATATATAATCTAAAATATTGAAAAGAGTACCCAATATTATATCCATTCTGTAATAGAAACTAAAAATCAATAATTTTTAGAATCACACAAGCATGAGAGATTTACTAAGCATACACATCATTTGACTAGTGGAATTCATAGATTTTTTTTTCTTCTGATGAGTTTTAAAAATCATTAAATTGTCCCTTTGCTATTTTCTGTATTTATTATGGCTGTTAAAAACTGTGTATTTTATTCCATTCTGTGTCCCATGATAATCCTGTGAAATTTCTTCATTTTTCTTGCAGCAGTGCTAGTGTCATTCCCATTATGCTTTTTAATAAAATCCACTAAAAATAAAGCAACATAATAGGAGCATAGCTAACTCTATTAGATGGGAGCTTACCTATATTTAGCAATCTCTGATTCTTGTATTTTTGAAGTCAGTTATCTTACTCAAACACAATTTCATGAACTAGATTGGTAATCAAAATAATGTTCTAGAGCAGTATCTCTGGGGGTTTCTTGAAAGAAAATGTGGACATAATTAATTTTTTTCATTCATTTCATTGCCTGCCTTTATCCTGGATCAAAAATGACAGTTTGGCAGCATTCAAAAACATCCAATTTTAGAATAATTATATTGGTCCCACTTTATTGATTATGCTGTGTATATGTACAAAGCCATTGGGATTGTACAAAGATGAATCGGATGTAAACTTTTCCCTCTAGAGGCTAGTAGGCTAATAAGTCAAAGTGATTACTAGAACACATAGTACAATGTAGTATTTACCAGAATATACAGATAAAGTGCCCTGGGCATCTGAAGCAAAGGAGATGCTTCTAGATGGAGGAATCAGGGAAAATGTTATAGGAAAAGTGACATTTGAGCTAAGTCTTAAAGGATGGTTAGAGGTTGGATATTAGATTATTAGATGAGCTCAGGAAGGGAAGGAATTTCAGAAAAAGGGAAGGGCAGAAGAACAAGCATGGAGGTGGGAAACTAAGTTGATATGTACAACTCATATCATGACTGACTGGCCAGATGATAAAGCCCAGAGTGCCAAGGATAAGGAATACAGACTTCATTCAGGAGACAGTGAAATCTTATCGTAGGGTTTTGCGTAGGCTGTAGACACAATAAAAATTGCATTTTAGTTGTGTATAACATGGATTGGATAAATGGAGGAGGATTGGTATCTGCTAGAAGCCTAAGACTCGGCTACCTACTGTAGGAATTGCAGTGAGAGGTACTAAGGACCTGCGCCGAGGAGGCTGGGGGGAAGCTTACAGATGGGAAACCTTCAAGTGAGAGAAATAGTTCAGAGATAGTACAGAGGTGGAATTACTATAATTTAGCAGCTGCCTTTTTGACTGCTTCAATCTACAACTGTTACAGATTTCTTCCCTTCCCTATTAGGCAAAGCACATTCCTCATGATCTTGAAAGAAAGCTTATACTGGCCCTTCTGTGAATTTTCATTTTGTGTTATGAACTAGTAACTTCCATTTTCTCTTCACCCCCTTCCTCCCTAATCCCCTGTGTTTAGTCTTCTGTTCAAACCACTCTACTTGAATTGCTTTCTTAAAGGTCAACAGTAATCTCCTTTCAGTCAAAAGTATGGCATTTTCTCTGACTTTATTCTTCTTTTCTGTTCTACTGTATTTGGTCATTAGGTCATTCATTCACTCACTCATCCATTCAAAAGTATTTATGGAGCTCCAAGCCAGACACTATATAAAATATAATGGTTAGAAAGCATCCCTGCCCTCAAGAAATGCATTGTCCTGTTGAAGGGACAGACACATGGATAATTAGGATCCATCCTACTAAGCATTAGATACAAAATGCCATTCATGGTAGCCCAAAGGAAAGAGCCACTCACTCTGCCAGAAAAGGTCAAGGAAGGTTTCAGAGGAAGAGTAGTGTTTGAGCTGTTTCTTGGAGAATGGAAAAAGCTCACTGGGCAAAGAAGTAGGGGGAGGAGCACAGTGTTTCCATTGTGGGTAAGGCATAAACATTGAGAGGAGGAGTCAATGGGAAGTGTCTTGGCAACCATGCCCAGTGAGCACCAGGCTTTTACAGAGATCAGTGGACAAGCATGAAGGTTTCAAGCCCAGAAGTGACAATATCAGGTTTAGAAAGTTCATTCAGTGGAGGATGGAGTGAATGGGGGGAAGTCATAGACAAGGAGACCAAGTAGCAAAAGAAGAGAAGGGCATGAATGGAGAAGCAGCATGGGTAGACAGGAAGGGACGGAGCCAAAAGACAATTTTAAGATAGAAGGAACAAGTCTAATGCCATGAATTTCTCTCCCTCCTGGGATTCTGTGACCTACACTATCCTGCAAGCTGCTGCGTTGCTAGGTGACCGACAGCAGCGGGGTTTGGATGTGTGAAACTTGGGATGGAGGAAGGATTGAGAGTGAGCCAGGAGGGCTGAGCAAAGGAGGCTGTTCTGTCTTTCAAAAGAAATGAAGAACCCTCTGAAAGGGAAAAGGGATGCTTTAGGGACAGAGCCAGTCTTACAAAACAGAAAGCTCTTATTACATGAGGAGTGTAAAACAAATTTGATTAAACTTAATTCCTGTATTTTGAACCAAAAGGAAATCATTAGTTGTACTATTTTGTAAGCAATTATTAGTTGTATTGTGGTATAAATAATTATTAGAGAAAGGTTTAAAATATGTCTAAATACAATAAATAAATATAAAGGAAATATCTTTTTTTACAGTGAGATCCCAGGGAGAGTTTAAGACAAGTCATCAGCAGACAATATATTGAATCTATGAACAGTTTAGACGTTTGATCATTCCCTGGGTGCATCTTTTCCCTCCCTCTCTGTTTCTGTCTATAGATCTGTATCTATATTTGTATCTGTATTATATCAATGTCTGTATCTATATCATTATCTATATCTGCATCTTCCTATTTTTCCCTCTCTCTTAGCCTCTATCACATACAAGCCCTGCATTTACTTTCACTCATTGAAACCAGTTGCTGGAACCGATCTATGACACCTGAGGCTTCAGTTATAATTTTTTTGGCATGCCTCTCAAGACTGTCTTGCCCTGGCTTCTTGTTTCAGACAGTTCCCCTTTAACATTCATCCCTGGCTCTTATATGTCTTTCACATTCCTGATTTGTCACTATATTAAAGCCACTGGCATGTGTTTCATGCTACCCTTATTTATTCATTATGTAGTATAATTTGACGTTGAGCATCATTTCTATTTGATAGATTCACTGGTTGTTCATGCTGAAAATCCTGCCTTTATCCAAGACATGTCTTTGGCCTGCTGTCAGCTTCCAGCCTCCCACAGCCTCCACAGCAGCCCACTCAGCCATGAGCACATGCTAACTCCCTTCAAAATTAAAATAATGTCATATCTTATAGTTAATCGTTATATCACCCTCTCCAAAAACTTTCAATATGTAGCATAAAATTAAAGCTTACATGTCTAAAATATTCTCATATTAACTCATTCTATACCAGTCGTTATCTCAGTGCACTGTATGCTCACATTGACTTTAATCCCATAATGTCTCACATTACACTCACTTCCCTCCTGAAATATCTGCTGATCTGATATAAGCCTTATCTTACCTTATTTCCATTTAGTACCAAGTCAAAGGGGATCCTTCTACTGGAGGTTCTTGAAGTGTGTACTTGATCCCAAACAAAACAATCATAACAAAAGTATGTCATCATGATCAATTTAATAGACAAAATCAGGCATGTATCTATATAAGAATATTTGTTACGTTCATATTACAAAGCAGCATTTTATTTCTTTGATCATCCTTAATTATATCCCAACATCTATATATAATCAAATTCGCTGTATATAAACAAATCCTAATTTGAGATTACTACATCAGTAGGCATTGTGTGCTTGGTTTTTGGAGGGGAGTAGGAATAATTGTTTCCCAGGAGTTTGGGAAAATTTGAGTTCTTATTCCTAATTTGACAATTAATGCCTAATTTGGGAAAGTAATCTAAATCAGTGAATTAGGTTAACCAATATGTTACTCAGCTGGGTAGATTTCCATTGTCTGCCTTGAGCCGAGCACTTTAAATGCAGTGTGATCTATGTTTTAATAAGGCGTGTACATATTGGTCCTAAGCCTCTTCTCTGAAGGTTTGCATTATAAAACATGGTATCCACTTTGATTAGTTATTTGATTTCTTTTTATTTAATAATGTGCACCACTCTACTGAAACAAAAAGCTAGCCTACAATGTAGGCTACATCAGACACCGTGAGGGACTCTGTGCTGAAAGGGAAAGGCCTGATTTCTGTGCACCCAAGTTCATCCACAACCTGTGTCCCAGATTGGCCACCATTTTAGCCAAAGTTTGTGACTCTGGAAAGAGTTCAAGAAACCAAAGTTCTCTTCCTGGCTTTGCCACTAGCCAGCTTTGAGACCTGGGACACATCAGTCCTCTTTCGGTCTCAGGGTCTTATCTAAAAGATGAGGGGTTATGTCAGATGACCTTTAATCCCTTCCGGCTCTTAAATTCTTTGATTCTGTGAAGGCCGTGAGTCTTTCTGACGCTGAAACCACATCATCACAAGGGATCAAAGGATGAAAAACTAAGTGCAAATAAAGGTCGAATAACATTTAAAGGCAAGTGCTTTCAAAACATCAAGACTCAAAGAGATGCTCATGTTCAGAGTAGCATCTCAGAATTCTTCAAAATTAAAGTATCGCTATTATGTCAGGCCAGTGTCAATAACACTAAGTGAGTCAAAGCTTTTTGTTCGTAATTGGTATATTTTACCATCACTAGATACCTAAGTATAAAAATGTCATTACTACATCTAACACAGTTTCTATATAGGTGGCTTCATCTATTGAAAATATAGCCAGACACCAGTAAGGAAGACAAAAAAACAAACAAGAAAAAAAAAAAAAAACTTCATAGCTTAAAAGAATAGATTTAAACTTCTTGAGAAATTTTCATGAAACCATACAGTATCTTCATTGGAAAGTGAAACCCTCATTCAAAGACTGCTACAGAAATAAAGATAAAGATCATTATAGCTCACGGTTTGAGCTCTTACTGTGCATTAGACACTATTCTTAGTGCATAACATCTTAATTTATTCAATCCTTACAACAATTGTTGGTAAATTTTGCTACTATCCATTTTATGGTGAGGAAACTGAGGCCAGATAACCCTGGCATCTGGCGTTAGAGCCCAGGCTACTAACCAGACCTCTTCGATGCCCTTCTAATTGAAAGCAGGGAAGATTTTATATACAGGTCCACTGAGAATCTGACAAAAACAAGGAAGGCAGAGAAACTGTACCAAGCATACTACAGACTCAAAAAGCTCAGAAACCTATAGTAAAGTGAAAGCAGGTCTATGTATCTATCCGCTTATTTGTTTACTGAACACTTCTATAGCACTTAGTCTGTACCAGGCACTGTTCTACTCGCTTTACAAATGTTAACTTGTTTCATCCTCTTAACACTGAAGTGGAGAGTGTAATTATGCCCATTTTACACGTAAGGAAATTGAAGCAGAGAGGTCCAGTAAGTTGTGCACGTGACACAGCTAGTAAGTAGCAGAGCCAGGATTTAGAACCATGGTGCCCCGGTGGTGCAACAGTTAAGCACTCAGTTGCTAACCGAATGGTTGACGGTTTGAACCCACCTAGCAACTCTTTGGAAGAAAGACCTGGTGATCTGCTCCCGTAAAGATTTCAGCCTAGAAAACAGTATAGGGCAGTTCTACTGTGTCATGTGGGGTCACTATGGATCGAAGTCAACCTGACGGCACCTAACATAATATGGCCCCAGTCTGGCATGTGTGCACTTGAGCACTATGCTGTGCCACCACTCACAGGTACTTCTAGAATCTATCCACTGTATTGCGATAATGGAAGTTCATTCATTCTTTCATTCAGCAATATTATTATTGCTGAATATTAAGGTAGTATTAAATGTGCATGCCTGATGAGTTTCTAGAAAAGATTAAACTTATTTTGGTATACAGTATTTGGTTAAAAAGTCAAGATCACCTGTTCAACTTAGAAAGATTCCCATTCAAAATAGTTAATACATTTTTGTTTTATTCTGTTATTTAAAGTGTCAGACCCCCAACTGTTTGAAAAACTCAACCCTCAGTACTTTCATATTTACCAAGGATGCTTGATAATGTAATTTTCACTATATTCGATATCGGGATAGATGGCATGTTGAAATGAGCTACCATATTTACTTTCTAAACATACGAGACTACTGAGGGAGAAAGTGGCTACAGTATCTTTTATAAAAAGTATATAAATATAATTTATTCTTACATCAAAAAATAAGGCATTGTCTGTAATTTCTTTATATAATCCCCTCCATTCTCAAGCAAATAAATGAAATATTGAGTAGAAAGAAAACTGAGATTGACTACTAGTACTAGAAAGCATATCAAGGCATTTCATATGTTTCATATATGTCTTGTGTCTAAATTGTCAACTGTGCTTCTTCTGTTATTTCCTTTTGGTATTATTGATGAGCAGACTATTTGCTCAGCATTAGCATTAGCTTTTAGAAAATAGACCTAAATAAAGTAGAAAACTAAACTGCTGCTCGCATCAGTTAGAAGTTCAACAGGGTGGTTTTCTATGAAGAATACTAATCCTTTGGTTTGTTGTTAAAGGAAGGGCATGCTCAACTCCTCAAGAATCTCTTAACCTGCTTTTGAGCTCTGCTAATATCTGGTGACTTCCTTTCAAGTGCTCGTGTTTCCCAGGCTCGCCTTCTTCGCTTAAAGTGATATATTATACAGTGGGATCCCAATTAGCAGAAATCGGTGAAGAGTAAAACATGATATTAGCCAGAGAATATTTTATTTAAATTGTACAGCGTGATGAAAACACAGTTGCTGCATCTCATACAAGAAATCTGACATTCAAGAATTGGTTTAAACTGCACGGTTGGGAGCTGCAGAAAGAGTACTGGGGATTTGTGTTCAAAATGATAACTGTTTCGTTTTATTATTTAACAAAATTTTTTTTAATTCTAATCCTAAATCTGGCATTTGGCTTCTTTTTGCAGCTCTGGGGTGGATTCGGCAGTATGTTTTCCAGATCAGCCCATCAACTTCAGACCTGTGACACCAGCCAGGCAGCCTGAATCAATTAATCTGAAAGCCTCCAAGAGCATGGACCTTGGTAAGTGAGGGTGAGGTGACATCCAGGTCAGCTCTCCAGCCCCAGCCCATTGATCTCCTAAAGCTCCTACTTTTGCTTCCTAAACTCAAACCTCAGGGAGCAGGGTGGCTGAAGCCTGGAGCTGGGGATAATGGTTATCCTGTCTTCCTGTCTCCTCTCATTTAATTGTAATTACCTCCTTTTTTCAAAAAAAGATAAATGATTTGTTTTTATAAAGTTGTCCATGATGCCCTCCCTTTACAAGTCGAAAAAAAAAATAAGAGTTCTTCTCAAGGATCTAAATGCTGCAGGCATCTCTAACTCACCTGCTCTTTGTGTTTGCACTCTGGCTCTGCCAGTGCTTTTCCATTTCTCAAGCACATGCATACCTGTTGCAGGGCTTGGGAAGATAATGTGGTTAAATGAATCTTCTTCCATGGTGTTTCCCCTTTTGTCTTCTTTTCCATGGGTGGTGGATAGGGATAGTAGGAGTGAAGAAGATTCATCCCTTTAAATGCCTGTTTCCAAGTCCTGTGTCACTGGAGGGAAGAAGGCTCCGTGGGTTTCCCAGATTGCAGGTGTCAAGGTTCCTTGGGTCAGTGCCTGAACAACCTCATTGAGGTTATGAGGCCCACAGGGAATTTCCGAAGACTATTGACTGCCAGGGCAGAGCGAGGGTCCCTGCAAACCTGAGAGCCATGTTCTCCGGGCCCTGGGACATGGAACTCTGGAAGATATCTCAGATGCCCAAGAATATTGCTGCTCCCCACGGGCTCCTGGAGAGAGAGAGCTATTAGAAAACAGTGTGTATGCAAAATAAATTCTTACCAGAATTCTCACTGCTTCCTGAATGCTCAGAGACCAAGCTTTGCATTTTTTTCCTTGAAGCATACTACATATTTCATTAGTAGCAACAAGAAAATAGAATAATCAAAACTACATGCTTCATAAAACAATCTGATAAATAGTGCTTATCTGTTACTCATTTACAGGAGTTCAGAAAAATGTTCAATCATGACGAAATGAGAAATTGATTCTGTTTTTTATAAATTAACTCGATCACTTGGATGCATTTGCTCTAATCACCTATAGTGAAAGACTAATATAAAACCTCAACAAGCAAACTGCCCTGAGCACTGGTCAGAAAAGAGTATTTTCTCAAGCGTGAACCTTTGACAAACCGAAGGAGTAATGTATGACAGTGACATAGGTTATTTCTAACAATTTAAGGAGCAACTTGTTTTTATAGAGTGCTTGATAAACATTTCCTATTCTGTCTTCCTAATTTCTCTGTGAGGAAGATGAATGGATGAAAACTTCTCTTAATTTTGAGGGAGAGAACAAATATATTAGTGTTTTCCTTATTTAATTTAAAAAAAGTGGTCAGTAGTATGGTTCTAAAAAATCTCTGCAACAGAAAATAATAGCATGCATTTTTATTTAAGAGAGAGAAAAATATCAAATTCATAAAAAATTAAAACTTAAGGCAAGTCCAGTTGAATTTGTGCTTACATGTTTTTTATTACTGAAAACTTGGCTTTTGAGAAGTTTCCTATTTTAAATTGAACTAGCCCTTTTCAAATATATGTAGTTTACAGTCAACCACTGCATTTTATTGTACTTATACCATGAATGACAACAATAATACTAATGTTTATTCAATTTACAAAATTGGTCCACTCTCAGTCTATTTTCTTCAGGACACAAGTGCCAAACTAAAAGCATTGACTAAAATAAACCATTCAACAGAGCACTCGATAACATGTTATAAAAACATTTCTCAAGTAACCATCCAAGTTCTGCCACTTCCAGGAAGTGCCAATTTAAAGCTAATAGTCTTGCAGAAGATTGAGGGTCAGCATTCTAGGACCACTCTGATCCCCTCTCCCTAAAACAGTTGCACAAGCGCAATAAATGTGTTGGCTTTCTCAACGAGTAAACTCAGATGAGACTCCAGTGGTAAACATTTGGAAGTCGTTCCTGTTTGATTAGGTGTATAGAGTATTGTATGTAGTTTAATTTTCTACTATAGCACTGGGCCAATGTAAGAAAATAATATATTTGCTAAAAAGATTGATGACTCTGTTTATAGGAATAGTCCTCAGCAGAATCAAGATGCATTCTTTAAAAAGTGTAAATATAATTCGTGAAGCATTTAAAGTAGCAATCCATATGGTTCAAACTAAAAATAAAAAGAAAGAAAGAAAAGGAATCTCCTATTTGCTGTGCAGTTTATACTGGATTCTTGCTTTATAAAGTTTCTAGGAATCCTCAAAGGCTAAAGGGCCTCACCAGGACCTTCTTTGTTTTTTGTTTGGTTGCTTCATTATTATATTACTTTTTTCTTTCTGTTTCTGCTGAACCTAAGCCAGTGTTTTAACTTGCAAATTACCGAGTCATTGTTCGTATATTGAAAAGGTGAGTGGGTTCCATTTATTTATTGTTGCTTATATTTTAAAGGCAGATAATTCTTAAGAACTTTCCTTATCTCCATCTCCCTTCCCTATTCCCCAGACACAAACATGAGTTAAAAATAGTTATCTATGTATATCCTTCTAGATAACATTCTACCTATTTATAATCTGCCCTATCTACATGTGTCTATATCACATGTACTGTTTCTTTTTAGAACAGTTGTGTAGTGTTATATGAATAAACCTTGATTTACAGTTTACTTTTCTCTGTTTAATGAAATTTGGTCTTATCTGATGGTTTTTTGTTTTTGCTTTTATATTTGGGATCCATTTGCATTTCTTATGTGTGAATTCCTTATTCATATCCTTTGCTAGTGTTTCAATTTGTTAATTATTTTCCTCGTTCTCTCGCAATCTATTATTTATCTTTTTAGTTTGATTGTGATCACTTTTACCATAAAAAAAAAAGGTTTTAGTCTTATCGTCAAATATTTCTACTTTTTCCTTCATGATTTTTGTGTTTTGTATCTATCTCATTTATTTTCTTCAATTAGCTTTAGAGGCTTTTTTTTTTTAATGTTTAGCAATTGATAATTTATTTTTATCCATAGTGTATAAGGTGGAAAAATTTTTTTTCTCTTTGTAACTTATTAATAACACTTGATTTTTCCATCCTTTATTGATTTGGAATGCAATCACATTGAATATTAAATTCCCTTACATACGTGGGTCATATTCTGGACTTTGTTGCTATTCTATGGATAACATTGGTCTTGCCCCATGCCAGCACTACCCTGTTTAGATTAACAACTCCAAACACCTTGTCATCGAGTTGATTCCGACTCATAGTGACCCTATAGGACAGAGTAGAACTGCCCCATAGGGTTTCCAAGGTGTAATCTTTATGGAAGCAGACACTCACATCTTTCTCCTGCAGAGCAGCTGCTGGATTCGAACCTCCAACCTTTCAGTTAGCAGCTGAACACTGAACCACAGCACCCCCAGGGTTCCTTAGATTACCAGCTATTGCATTGTATTTTGATAGCTTATAAGGCAAACTTCCTCTGATTTCTCTTCTTTTGTAGAGTTACTTTGGTGCTTCATATGCATTTACTCTCCCACTTGAATTTTAGAATCCGCTCATCAAGATGACTATAAAGAGTAAACAGAAATGTCTCTACTATATGTGTGTGTGTATTACAGTTAATTTCGATGCTTGCTGTTGGTTTCTGATGGAAACTTTTCATCAAGTTAACTATGTTTCTTTGTATTTCTATTTTCCTAAAAAGTTTAATTCATTTTGTTTTTAAATTAGAAATAGATATTGATTTTATTGACTTTAAAGATCTATCGAGTGATCATGTGTATTTTGTTTTTTATTGATATTGTCAAATACATTAACAGAGCCCCCATTATTAAATCTTCTATTCGTTTTGAATGCCTCTAAATTATTCTTTGCACTTGAAAGGATGTATATTTGATTAACTACAGGCATGTATATTAAAACCTTCTAGAAATGGGTAGCATATTATCTTTATTGTTGCTGTGTGGCTTCAAGTCAATTCCGACTCATGGTGACCCTATAGGACAGAGTAGAACTGCCCCACCGCGTTTCCAAGGCTGTAATCTTTATGGAAGCAGACTGCCACTTCTTTCTCCTGTGGAGTGGCTCGTTGGTTCGAACTGCCGACCTTTCATTTAGCAGCCAAGCACTTAACCACTGCACCACCAGAGCTCTTTGCATATTATCTGTGTGTCTAAAATGTAGGCGTAAAATTCTGATTACAATTTTACTCAATGACATTAATTCCTATGTATCTGTTATAATTCTTTGGTTTTTTTCTTTAATATTCTGCCTCAGTATTTTGTGAGGACTTTTGCCAGCATGTACGAGGTCACATTTAAGTCAGATCAAAAATGATTAAAATGATGGGTGAAAGGAAATTTATTATTAAATAATTGGATGTAACTATGCTTATTCAGTGGGGTTAGGGTGCCATTTAACAGACTGGATAGATACTTCTGGGTTTTTGAGAAAATCCATCTTTTCCTACTAATTGTAGACTTTCCTCTATTTATTTAAATTACCAAAATTACTATGTTCAGTCTGGATCCCTTTAATTTGTTCATAATTGAGCTTGTGTGGGTGCTGAGTTGGAAGCTCTCAGGAGCTGAATAACACAGCTGCCTCTTTGGCCTTTAGCATAGGGTTTTCCCCCAAAGAGCTGCCCTTGTTGGCAATATGCCAGGGAGTTATATTCAAAGACTTTTTGATGAGGTATAAGAATCTTTAATTTCCAGACCTGGTGTTTTATGACCCCATAATACTGTTTAAGAATTAGTTTGAATTATTCAGGGAACAGCAGTTAAGTATTTTGGCCCCTTCCTTGACCGAATCTGTAGCCCCTATCAAAGTTAAGTTTAAAACACTATTTGCCACAAGTTTTCTTTCTTTTTTTTTTTTTTTTTTTTACTGAGAGTTTTCTCTACTGTTTGAAACTGGTTTCCTCACTCCCACTTCAAGAGGGTGTTCTATAACATGATCAGGAACTGACTGAGGGCAGTGCCGATGGAAGATGCTGGCCAGCTGTCCTGCCTCTGTTAAAT